TTACTCCCTAGACGAAATAGAGGCACATGGGGGTTTGTCAGCTGATGATGTGGTGAGGAAGGAGGCAGCTAGATAGGATTATGTTCGTATCTCTCACATGGAGGATATGAGTTATCAGTACAAATCCAGGTGCTTGTAGTTGAAGGCAGGGGACCAGAATACTAAGTTTTTTCATCAGATGGCTAATGCTCACCGTCGGGTGAATCAAATTAATAGGTTACAAGTGGATGGTCGGGATCTGGGTACGGAAGAAGAGATTCAAGAGGGGATTATATCCTTCTATCAATATTTGTTTCAGCCTCAAGCAAGGGAGTGGTAGCCAGGGATGGATAGGGTTCATTTTGACACGATCTCGGTAGAGAACAAAATGGCTTTGGAGTGTACCGTCTTGGGAGAGGAGGTTTTTGGGGCCTTGCGGGCGATAAGTAGGGACAAGGTGCCAGGTCCGGATGGTTTTACCATGGCTTTCTTTCAATATTGTTAGAGTGTGATTAAGATGGAAGTAATGGCAGATTTGGAGGCTTTCTTTGTGTCTAGGAACTTTGAGAAGAGCTTTAATGCAACTTTTTTGGCTTTGATTCCTAAAAAAGAAGGGGGGGCAGAGGATATCAGGGACTTTAGGCCGATTAGTTTACTTGGTTATGTGTATAAGCTTTTGGCTAAAGTTTTGGCGAATAGGTTTCATGGGGTATTGCAGGTGGTTGTGTTTGATTCTCAATATGCGTTTATGGGAGGTTAGCAAATTTTGGATGCAGTGCTTATGGCAAATGAGTGTGGATTCTCGGATTTGACAAGACTTACCCGGTTTGGTTTGTAAGCTGGATATTGAGAACGAGTATGATAACGTACGGTGGGAGTTTTTGTTATATGTTATGGGCCACATAGGTTTCGAAGGGACTTGGTGTCCGTGGATTCAGTTTTGTATTTCTACTGTCAGGATGTCTGTTCTGGTCAATGGTACACCAGTGGGTTTCTTTCTGACATACTGAGGCCTCTGTCCACTTTTGTTCATTTTAGTGATGGAGGCGTTGAGTAGATTGTTGGATATGGATGTCCATAAAGGTCTGATGGAAGGTTTTTTGGTGGGTTCTCTTTCAAGAGCGCTTATTCGTGTTTCCTATTTATTGTATGTCGATGACGCTTTGATCTTTTGTAGGGCAATGGCGGGTATTTAAGATGTGTCTTATTATGCTTTGAGGTGGTTTCGGGTCTTAAGGTTAATTTGTGAAAATCAGAGTTAATTCTGGTAAGGAAGGTAGAGAGTCTTCTAGTGCTAGTCGCGGTGTTGGGCTGCCAAGTGTCGACTCTGCCAGCAACTGACTTGGGTCTTGGGTATGAGAAAGAGTTGTGAAGCGAATTCAACATCAGTTGGCTGGGTGAAAGAGGCAATATCTTTTGAAAGGGGATTGGTTGACTTTGATTAAGAGCGTATTGAGTAGCATTCCGACGTACTTCATGTCTTTACATGTTATTCTGGTATCGGTGGCGCGACGAATGGAGAAGCTTCAAAGGGATTTTTTGTGGGGCAGTGAGAGGATGATTTTAGATACCATTTGGTGGATTGGGGGTAGATTTGTCAACCAAAAGAGGCTGGGAGGTTAGGGGTTTGGAGATTGGTGGTTTTTAACCAAGCTTTGTTAGGTAAGTGGCTGTGGCGCTTTGCTGAGGAGCCAGAGAGGCTTTGGCGACGGGTGATGGCTAGTAAGTATATGCTGGCTATGGTGGATTGGGGATCAGGAGATGTGACTAGTTCTCATGGTTGTGGTTTATGGAAAGGAATTTGGTTGGGAAGAGTGGAGTTTCGGGAAAGGGTGGGGTTCCGGGTGGGTGATGGGTTGAGGGTGCGCTTTTGGAAAGAAGGATGGATGGTATGGTGAGGCTTTGTTGGCGGATCATTTTCCTTTGATTTTTGCCATTGTTAGGGATCCGGAAGCTATGGTGGCATCTTATTTGGGGGGTGGGGATGTGGTGGTATGGGATATTCACTTGAGGTGGCCGGTTCAAGGTTGAGTAATTGCTGGAATTATGGGGTTATTTGTATGGGTTGGGTATGACTAGGGTGGGGGAGGATGCCTTGAGGTGGAATATTGTGGGGACTAAGGGGTGTTTTTTCTGTTTTGTCCTACTATTGGAGTTTGGTGAGGGAGGTGAGAAGAGATTTTCCTTGGAGGAGTATTTGGGTGCCGGGGGTTCTTTCAAAGGTGGCTTTTTTCATATGGATGGCAGCCTTAGGGCGAAATCTTACAATTTAAAACTTGGTGAGGCGCGATCATTTTCTTATGAATCGATGTTGTATGTCGTGTGCAGATGTAGAGTTAGTGGATCATTTGTTTTTTGCATTGTCCTGTGGCTAGTCGGTTCTGGGGACTTATTTGCTCTCTTTTTGGGATTGTTTAGGTTCAACCGCGAAGGGTGATGGACATGTTGTGGAGCTAGCATGGAGCTCGGGTGGGTCGCCACGGGCGATGTGCGTGGTCTTTGGTGCCCTTTTCTTTGATGTGGCTAGTTTGGTTGGAGTGTAATCGGCACACTTTTCAAGAGCTTCACCACAGTGTTTCTTGGCTTGAGAGTCACCTTTTTATAGTCTTGTATAGTTGGCTGGAGCGGAAGTTTGATTCGAATTTGTTTGTTTTTTTATGATTTCTTAGATGGCATTCTTGGTTAGGAGTTGGTAATTATACTTTTTAGGTCTTGTATTTTTGCATCATCTTGATGCACTTTCAATAAAATTTAGTTTTTCATCAAAAAAATAAAAATAAAAATTGTCAGATAACCCATTCTGCATCATAGTTTTACATAAAAGGAAGATTTGCAAACTCGTAGGCACGTGCATAGGCTTTACATACAAACAAAATTGCACGTGTCTTCTTCTATAACCATGTAAAAAGATTACAAAATGGAATAGGAAATTTTCCGTATGAATCTTGTCTTTGGCATGAGCACACGCATCATTTATCCTTGGTACATGTATGCAGCATTGGCCTTACCTTTATAGTTGGAGTAAAATCTGATTTCGCTTACTTTTTCTATTATTTTCTTGAAATTGAATTTCCCTTAGTCCTTTATTGTGCTCTGATAACAATTTCCAACTATTGATAATTATGGTCCACATACAAGATGTTTAACATATATATTGTTATGGATAACGTGTGTCTTCTTGTACAACCATATAAAGAGATTGCAAAATGGGTTAGAAAATTTTTCTTATCAATCATGTCTTTGGCATGAGCACACACATCATTCATCTTTCGAACAGGTATGATGCATTGGCCTTGCCTTTATTGTTGGAGTAAAATCTGGCTTTGTTTTTGATTAATGCCAAAGGCTTTGAAATTTTCTACCTTGCATTTGGGCAACTTATATTCCTATATAATTTGATGCATGCAAATCTCCTTTGGTATATGACAAGGCTGATTGATAAATATTACAGAACTTGAATTGAGTGTTGACGAATTAGAAATTTTCTACACCAACATAAGTTTTATAGAAATTAAATGGAAGAACTCTTCTCAAAAGAAAATTGGTTTTTTTTTTTTTTTAAAAATTTTTTATTTTACTTTGACAAAGGAAAGAACCACCAAATAGTGAAATATAAAAATTTAAGCTATGTGTGTATGAAATAAATGGCATTACCAGCTCACCGCTCACTGACCATGGAAACACAAGATACGTGGTCGTTTCTTCCCCACCCCCACCTCCACAAATCCCATGCATAATGTATCTATTTCCAAGAATAATTTAATGGGGTTGTTCTCTTGTTAATCATTTACTAATTAGCATTAGTATGAATCTATTATCTTTGTCACTCTCCTAGGTAATGTTGACAAGAGTAGTTGAAGAGGGATGGAGCTCTTCAAGGCTGCTTTTACTTCCTGCCTTATTTTGGTGTGTATGTCTCTGTGTGGTTGTCTGTTTTCTAATAGCTAATGCTTGTTATTTTGGTTGTTGTGGAAGAGAAAATCATGTTAAATTAGTCCCAAACAACTTCACCAAGGTTTTTCAGCAATTTTTTAGGTTAGAAATTTGATGCTACTAAATTACATGCTTCATGAATTCATTGTGCAGAATTGTGGTGTTAACATAATGTCACATAGTATCTTTGAAAGTAGCCTATATTTATTAAGCTATAGCTTGGAAAGAATTGAGTAGACTTTAACATGGCATCCAAAGTTTGCCTTACAAATTTTCATGGAATCACTTTACAGTTGCAAAGTGCAATCATTTTAGGTCCAAACTTTTTTTCTTCTGCACCTTGTTTTGAAATTTGATAAAAAAAAAAAGAAAAAAAAAAGAAAAGAAAAGAAAAGTGTACATTATGTATTTGTTCTTTCTCACTACCCTCTGGCACAATTGTTGATGATATCGTGTATGTTGAAGCAACTAACACCACTACTAAGACTACTAATGATTAATACTCTTATCATCCCCTCTCAAGCTAATAGGTGAGGGTAACACCATTAGCTAAGGGTGGTCGTGGGTTGGTTGCGGCTACGGAACCTCCAATCTGCCGTCCGTTCGTCGGATTGGCGGATTGAAGAAAATCAATACGCATCTGTCCGCCAATCCGGCGGATGCGGATTGAGCGGATTAGCGGATGGATGCGAATCGGTTTAGCGGTTTAAAATTTTATACTTTTTCAACATAATTCAACATGTGCACTTCCTCAAAAAAAAAAAAACCAAAACCAAAACCAAAACCAAAACCAAAACAAAAACAAAAACATGTGCACTTCATTCCTCAACGACCACTTGTGCGCAATGCATATATAAACCGCCAAAAGATTATCAAATAAAACCAACCCATGACCAAAAAAAAAAAAATAGTGCAGTGGTCAAATTTTCAACATAAAGTGGTCAAATTTTGGCACTAGGCTAGTAAACTGTGCAGTGGTCAAATTTTCAACTTACAACCATCCAAAATAAGATATTAAAGTCATCCAAAGAAAGTTTTAACCGATAGTCATATTTTGAAAATAACTTAAAAAGAAGCAATAAAGCCATTCATTTCCTTGAGCCAAACCATGAGCCATCCAAACCTGTATAACAAAAAAATGAAATTACTTAATAAGGAAAACACTAAAAAGTCTTAAACTTAAAACAAATAAACATCAACAACATTTAACAAAAGGGAAGTATTTTACCAATGATATTAAACTTCAATAAAACTACTCTCCAGACTTGGGCTTGAACATAAACTTGATTCCGAAACAACTACACATAAAACATAATACAACAAAAACATGTGAAATGACGATAATGAATTTTGAATAATACAAAATAAATGAAATTTAAAGCAAAATAAATCATTGTATATATTACTCGAATCATATTGTTGTTCAAATTCTTCAACATCATCCATTGCTTGTCGAAGGTAGTTTGGAATGTTACTTCGAAGCAAATTTTGTGTACAAACAAGAAGCTCCACTATCTTGGGAGCAAGTGAACTACGAAATGGATCAAGTATACGACCTCTTGTACTAAAAGCTGACTCAGAAACAACAGTGGAAACAGGCATTGCCAACATATCTCGTGCTATAAGTGATAATACTCTATACTTTGTTGTATTAACCTTCCACCACTCCAAGATATCAAATTCAACATTCTTCCCACGTTTCTCAATATCACCCAAATACTTGTCCAATTCCAACGTACTCCTATTACTACAAAATTACCCCTAAAAAAATGAGTTAAATTGAGAGTTCACAATAGAGTGCGGATCATTTTCATCTATCACCATATCTACTGCTTCATTTATATTGGAAGGCATGCACATTTGTTGAATCAAGCATGGCGCAATGATCATACAATTGATTCAAACAATTTTTCACCTTGTCTAACATTTCTTTGACTTTCACTACATCTCCACCAAAATTTGTTGAAAAACAAAATTGCAAATATGTCATTTTTCTTCGATGATCAAGCACAACTGCAATATACAAAAGGAGATTGATTTTATCTCCATTTCCTCTATACTTGTCAAACTTCTCTTTCATTTTCTTTGCCATTGAAGACAAAATAGGATAATTGTCTTTGATTAATTGTCCAATCATGTTTTCAATGACAAAAATTTCTGTGTAGAATGTATTTGAAGTAACAAATAAAAACCCAAAAAATCTCTTTGTTGCATTGTAGAACATTTTAAGAAATTTCAAAAACACCCTACAATTATCCCAATCCTCGGCTGTAGGCATCTCTCTCCTCTCACCCCCTTCATTATCCAAAAAGTAGTGTTTATAATTGTAGTCCTCCTCACCCATTCTTTGAAAAGCACTCTCAAATCTTTCCGCCGCCTCCAACATAAGATATGTGGAATTCCACCGTGTTGGCACATCTAGACACAAGAGACTCTTACTCTCAATTTTCAAACTTTCCACATACTTTTTAAAAGTGTCAAGGCGGTTTGGAGAATACCACACATACCTCACTACATGCCTCACATTTGCTATACAAGACTTAAGATCCTTCAATCCATCACTAACAATGAGATTTAGAATATGCGCACAACAACACATATGCAAAAAGTCATGGCCCAAGACAATTCCCTTCAACAAGTTTGTGGTTCGTTTCAAGAATCTAATGATTAGATTATTGGAACTCGCATTATCAACAATTAAGGTAAAAAGGCCATCAATGTCCCACTCTTTTAAGAGTGCCTTAATCGTTTTACCAAGAGTTTCTTATTTGTAGTCTTCAACTTGACAAAAATTTATGATCCTCTTTTGTAACTTCCAATCATCATCAATGAAATATGCTATTAGACACATATAACACAAATTTTGTATAGAAGTCCATGCGTCTGTGATAAAGCAAATTCTATGCCCCTTCACAATTTTTTTCAACCTCTCTCTTTCATTAGTGTATATGTCTACAATGTCCCTAGCAATGGTATGTCGAGATGGGATCTTGAACTTGGGTTGCATGACATTACAAAACCTCTTAAAACCAATCCCATCCACAAATTTAAAGGGCAATTAATTAATTACTATCATCTCGACAAGATACCTCCTAGCAACTTCTATAGAAAATGAGGTAGCCACAACATCAACAACACCCTCCCCACCAACTTCTCTAGGTTTAAATCCCAATGTTTGTTGCCCCTGAGTATCTCTATATGGATACTTTGTACAATTTTTCAAATGAGTTAATAAATTACTTGTTCCATGACTCTTAGAGCCTGCCATATATTATTTCTTACAATACTTGCACATTGCTCTATCGTTCCCATCAATATCCTTAATCCTTTCAAAATGATCCCAAGCCTTTGATGGTGTTCTCCCACCACTACTACTTTTGGCCAGGGTTGGTCTAGGAGGGGAAGCATTAGGTTGGGTAGATGGGTCAATAGAAGATGATTTAAGCTCAATTAGGATTCACAGAAAATGTTTCTTCACTTGGAGGATCCATGACCAAAGGATTATCAAATAAATTGCCAAAAACCAATAAAAAATCATTCAAAATATGCTTTTGAAATCCATGCTTTGTTTTTCCCTATAATTTCAAACAAGATAACAGAATTAAAACCCTAAACACTAAATATGCTCTGTTTAAAAAAAATAAAAGAATCATTCAAAATATGCTCTGTTTTTCCTTGCTGCCACAGGATAACAGAATCAAGTCAACAAATATTTCTGCACAAAACACTTCAAAAATTTTCATGAAAATTTTCACATGAAGATGCAAGAAAGTACATAAATCGAAATAGGAAAATTAATCATCCATCTATCATTCATTTATAAATAATGAAAAAGAAAACAAATGCATATAGACTTCATACAAAATTCTAAATCTAGTTTATAAAGACAAACTTGTATGCGGAAAATGTGAAAATGAACTATAAAATCATATACACTAAAAAACTAGAACCTTTTTGGCTGATTCTAGTTTTGTGTTCTAATTCTGGTTCTGGTGCCACATTTACCAAGATGATGCTCCAGAACTTTAGTGAGATTTATGTATATTTCTCAAAAACTAGAAGCTTTTTTGGCTGATGAATGATAAATTTGATAGTATTCATCAGTATTAAAAACATCAAAGGTGAAAAATAGTATTATGAGAATGAGAGTTCTGACAGAAAAGGTGCTTATGAGTTATTTATCCTCTGTTTACATACACCCACCCTTCAATCTCCAGTTAGTTCCAAATTTTCACAAGTTAGAGAGATAAAGACTTAATACTCAAAAGAGTCAAAACAAGTTCAATCTCAATTACTCAGATTACAAAAACACCCAAAATATGAGGAATCAAGACAAACCCACCTCGGCTTGGTACTCGTGTTTCTCACCAGAGGTCTTGGAGCTAAGGCTGAGTAGTGAGGGCATAAAAAATATTTTTAAAAGCAATGGACAAAGTAACGAGCGGGTCAGGTTTAGTGGGTGTAATGGCGAATCAATCGCAAACAGACCCAAAACTGCGAAAACACATAATCTGGGCCCGCACTCGCCCACCACGTGTCACGTATCCACTCAAAAGTGGTCGGGTAGGGCAGGTTTGGCGGGTCGGGCGATTTGCTGCCCAACCCTACCATTAGCTTGTCCTTTAGCTATAACTTTCGTGTTGACTTTTAAGAAAGAGGAAAGAATGCACTAGGTTTTCGGAAAACTTTTACTGGATGGAATATAGTTAGGGCTCTTATACCCTCATGTTAATTAATCATTTAAACACTAATTAGTTATAGGACAAATGAAGGGTGTTCTAGGGGCGAAAATGCAAAACAGTTCCCGAAAAACACAATGGATGTCATAGGAAGCTTCCTTGTGACAACTATGATATATGAGGATATACGACATGTAGTTAGCACACGTAGGTTGGGAGTTAAAGTCATCGTGGAAAGCTTCCTCATCAAAAATCAAACCTTTGGGGACAGAGGGCATATAGTTTGCACACGTAAGTCGGGAGTTATAGTTGAAAACGCCTTAAACTTAGTCGAAAAAGGGCTTCCAGGGGGCAAAAATGCAAAACATCCCCCGCACCAATGTGTGGGTGTTAGGGGCAGCATCCTTGTGACAAATACAACCTGTGACCACAGCTGGTATGTAATTCGCACGCATAGTTTGAGAGTTAGAGACAAAAACACCTTGAACTTAGGCAAAAAGAGCTTTCGGAGGGCGAAAATGAAAAACAGACCCCAAACCAATGTATGGATGTTACGAGTTGTATCCTCGTAAAAAATAGGACCTATGGCCATAGACGGCACATAATTCGCACACATAATTTGAGAGTTAGAGCCGAAAATGTCTTGAACTTAGGCGAAAAAGGGCTTTCGGGGGGCAAAAATGCAAAACAGCCCCTGAACCAATGTATGGATCTAACGAGCAGCATCCTCATTGACAAATAGGACATGTGGCCATAGACAGCATCTAATTCACACGCGTAGTTTGAGAGTTACAGCCGAAAACGCCTTAAACTTAGTTGAAAGAGGGCTTTCAAGGGGGCAAAAATGCAAAACAGCCCGAACCAATGTATGGCTATCACGAGCAGCATCCTCATGACAAATAGGACCCGTGGCCATAGACGGAATGTAATTCGCACGCGTAGTTTGAGAGTTAGAGCCGAAAACGCCTTGAACTCAGGCAAAAAAGGGCTTTCGGGGGACGAAAACGCAAAACAGCCCCCGAACAAATGTATGGATGTTATGGGCTACATCCTCATGAAAAATAAGACTTGTGGCCATAGACAACATGTAATTTGCACACATAGTTTGAGAATTAGAGCTGAAAACGCCTCAAAGTTAGTCGAAAAAGGGCTTTTCGGCGGCAAAAATGCAAAACAGCTCCCAAACCAATGTATGGCTATCATAGGCAGCATTCTCGTAGCAAATAGGAACTGTGGCCACAGACGGCATGTAATTCACATGCGTAGTTTGAGAGTTAGAGTTGAAAACGCCTTGACCTTAGGCAAAAAAGGGCTTTTAGCGGGGTGAAAATGCAAAAACAGCTTTCGAACCAATGTATGGATGTTAAAGGCAGCATCTTGGTGACAAATAGGACTTGTGGCCATAGACGGCATATAATTCGCACACATAGTTTGAAAGTTAGAGCCGAAAACATCTTAAACTTACTCCAAAAAAGGCTTTCGAGAGGGGCGAAAATGTGAAACGGCCCCCTAACCAATGTATGGATGTTACAAATTTGTTATTTATTTACTTATTTTATTATTTAAGCAAGTGGTGTGGATTTGTGGATACTCATTTTTTGTGTATGGAGGACAATTTCGACTTTTGTGTACTCTTTGATAATTTTGTCGTCCGCTGCTTTTCTGTGGATTACTATTACTAGTATAGATGTTTTTTGGCTAGTATATAGAATTCCTTTTGTCGTGTTACAGATTATCGCAATCCGTACCACGACAAATGGCCATTTCGCATAGTAGTACTTATATTTTTGGCACACAGAAGGCTTGATTTTTGTAACTTAATTGTTATGTTTTGTATGGAATTATTAAAAAAGTTTGGACTATATAGTACAGGTTGGACTATGGTTTGTATGGAATTTTACATTTACAGTTATACATTTTTTGGATGGTTGGAAGTGAAATGGATGCAGATCTATTGTGGAATGATTGATAATAGATGTATTGCTTTGTTCATATACATAGTATTGGTTGCATGAAATACATACAGGTTGTAAACAAATTAGAATTTGGAGAAAAAAAAAACATAAAATTATGTTTTTAGTGACTAAACAATTTATAGGCCAAAAAGAAGTATATAATTTAATGACTAAATAGTTAGTAGCTAAAAAAAAAAAAAAACTGAATTTTTTTTTGGTGACTAAAATGTTTAGTAGCTACAAAATTACAAACAAACAACATATTTGGGTGACCAAAGGTTTAGTAGGCAAAAACATGTTAAACTTTAGGCTAATAAAAGTTTAGTAGTCGAAAAAAATCAAACATTAAGTGACTAAATTATTTAGTAGCTAAACAAAAATAACCTGAACAAAAAACCATTTTTGTTGACTAAAGATTTAGTAGGCAAAAACAAATCAGACTTTCGGTGACAAAAAGTTTAGTAGCGAAAAAAAAAAAATCACACTTTAGGCGACTAAAATATTTAGTAGCTAAAAAAAAGTACATGAAATAAAATAAAATAAAAAATTGCGACTACAATTTTAGTCATAAAAAATAATTCTCAATTTTTGGCGACAACAAATTTTAGTCGCTGAAAATGTCATAGATAATTTTACTTTAATGCTTTTGGCAACTAAAAAAATGGTCGGCAATTTATTACTTTTGGCGACTAAATTTTTTTTTTTTGGGTCACCAATAGCCTTTCCCGACAATTTGTCAGCAACAAACCTGGCAACCAAAACTTTTAGTCCCTAAAAACCTTCGTCGACTAAAACATGACTTTTGGCGACAAAAAATTTAGTCGCCAAAAGTGTTATTTGTCGTGGTGATTTGGAAAACCCTAAACAACTACTGTGTCGGATCTAGAATGATATTATCTTTCCTAATTTGGGAATGCTGCGTTTGGCTCAGGTCCAAATGTGGAAAACCCAACCAAAATGTGGTGAGTGCAAAAACCTTTATTGTACACTTTTTTCAAACGTAACATACACTGAAATCATAGGCTTGAGATAATGTGATATATATATAGCATAAACCATGTCAAATCCCATACGATGGGACTTCCGTGCTCATTAAAGAAAATAGATGGGAGTGGCTAGTCCACAAGTCCTTTTTTTGGATAATATGTCAATCACCCTTTTTTAATAATGTCATAAATATAATTCAATTAACATTTCAGGTAATTATATTATTGTATGCAAGAGTAGTTAGAAATTTTATTATGTTAAATAAAAAAATTCTAATAATGAAGTATTTATAATTTGAAAATCTATAAGGGATAATTTATACTTTTAGTAAGGGGTAGTTTGGGTATGATCTTTTTTTGGATTTTTTGTTTTTTACAAAAAGATATGCAGAAAAGTAGAAAGATGATGTGATAAGCCAATAAATCAATAAGCAGCCTATTTGGCTTCTTGCCAAACTCACTCTAAATCTCAAAGGTGTATTTGTAGGGTGTAGGATTATATATACGCGACAGATTAATGGATTCAATTACATACCACTTAATCTTGAATCTGAAAAGAATGAACCTGATAAGTGAATCACATGCCTCTGAATCACCGTTTTTAAATCCAGCAATGGAGTGATACTACAATGCGAGCAACACTCACACAAATCAGAGTACAAAGGCCTATGTTTAGTTCAGTAATGGCAAATAAATTGAAAGACTCATAAAGTTTATCCACACAATATTACGTTTTGCTTCCCCTTTTTCGATTCCCATGATAATACGTATATTGATATATCAATATATAGCAAGATAGGCAACCACCCATCGTTATCCTAGATAAGATGGGACAGTAAGCTATCCTTACCTATTAGGATACCTTTGAATTTAAATTCAAACTTAAATTCAGATGGGTCTTACATGGATCATACCACCATGGACGTCCAAACCCGGGTTCGAAACCCAACCCGTTTACCAACATAGAAAAATTCTAATATACATACTTCTTAGGTGGTGTTTGGCAAGTGGTTTTGGGGCTGGAATAGCCACAAAAAATAAAATATGCTATTTTAGCCATAACAAACAAAATATCACATCCAACCCATAATCATTACACTTTTCTCTCACAAAAAAAGTCAAAAATTTAAAAAACCTTTTCCAAACCAAACTTTTTAGCCCAGGCTAAAATAGCCAAAAAAGCCAAAAAATCAAAAAGCCAACCCACTTTTCAAACGAAGACTTAAAAAGGGTGTATCATATGCACTCTAATTATGCTATTATTATTATTTTTTTTTAAACTTATAATCAGTTTTCTTCTTTTGTCATGACAATAGTTTAATTATGATAAGATTTATTATTATATCTTATATAGTATTTGATTATGATTTTTTAAAAATAATAATTCAAAAAATATAATTTATTTTTTTTTTTGGTTTAATTATCAGATATTTATCACAATTTTTTTCTACTTTCAAATGGCCTACGTGTCCATACTTCCAAATTGTGGTTGCTTCCAATCCGATTCCATCCAATAGAAAGCCCTGTCTTTTGATCGTGCCTTCCTACGATGGGTTGATGTGATGTCAATGTGTCCATGCTTCAACCGTTTAATTTCAAAAAGTAGAGATGGTCATCTCTTCATAGTATTTCTCTTACTCAACCTCTCGTATAAATGCTTTATGAAACTTCGCAGACTTCGACTCCCCAACACAACATGTCCCCCCATTAGTAAATCACTACACTGGAAAGATACTATTACACACGCATGTATCTATTGCTTTGTTGTATATGAGCAGCCCTTTCAATCTCTCTCTCTCTCTCTCTCTCTCTCTCTCAACAGAAAAAGATGAGATCGATGAATCTGGTAGATTCATGGGTCCAAACCTGTTCAATGTTTAATCAACCAAGCCGATGCAGATCTCTGATCGGATTAATCTACAATCCAATCAAGAAGAACACACCCAATTTCAGAAACTATCCTTCATTTCCTCTCAGACAAACCCAACAACGACCCGTCTCATCTTCCACAGTTTCTGCGATTCTCACCAAAGAAGAAACAGACAGTTCGAATCAACAAATCACCACCCAATTCGATTTCAATGGATACATGCTTCTCAAAGCTAATTCCATCAACAAAGCCCTCGACGTAGTTTAATTATGATAAGATTTTTGATTATATCTTATATAGTATTTGATTATAATTTTTTAAAAATAATAATTCAAAAAATATAATTTTTTTTTTTGGGGTTTAATTATAAGATATTTATCACAATTTTTTTCTACTTTCAAATGGCCTACGTGTCCATACTTCCAAATTGTGGTTGCTTCCAATCCGATTCCATCCAATAGAAAGCCCTATCTTTTGATCGTGCCTTCCTACGATGGGTTGATGTGATGTCAATGTGTCCATGTTTCAACCGTTTAATTTCAAAAAGTAGAGATGGTCATCTCTTCATAGTATTTCTCTTACACAACCTCTCCTATAAATGCTTTATGAAACTTCGTAGACTTTGACTCCCCAACACAACATGTCCCCCCATTAATAAATCACTACACTAGTAGAAAGATACTATTACACACGCATGTATCTATTGCTTTGTTGTATATAAGCAGCCCTTTCAATCTCTCTCTCTCTCTCTCAACAGAAAAAGATGAGATCGATGAATCTGGTAGATTCATGGGTCCAAACCTGTTCAATGTTTAATCAACCAAGCCGATGCAGATCTCTGATCGGATTAATCTACAATCCAATCAAGAAGAACACACCCAATTTCAGAAACTATCCTTCATTTCCTCTCAGACAAACCCAACAACGACCCGTCTCATCTTCCACAGTTTCTGCGATTCTCACCAAAGAAGAAACAGACAGTTCGAATCAACAAATCACCACCCAATTCGATTTCAATGGATACATGCTTCTCAAAGCTAATTCCATCAACAAAGCCCTCGACGACGCTGTTGTGTTGAGAAATCCACCAACGATCCACGAAGCCATGAGATACTCTCTCCTCGCCGGCGGCAAGAGGGTTCGCCCGGTGCTCTGCATCGCCTCCTGCGAGCTCGTCGGCGGCGGAGAATCTCAGGCAATGCCGGCTGCTTGCGCCGTCGAGATGATCCACACCATGTCGTTGATTCACGACGATCTTCCCTGTATGGACAACGACGATCTCCGCCGAGGAAAACCCACCAACCACAAGGTCTTCGGCGAGGACGTGGCGGTCCTCGCCGGCGATTCCCTCCTCGCTTTCGCCTTCGAATTCGTCGCCACATCAACAATCGGAGTCTCCCCAACTCGAATCCTCGCCGCAATCGGTGAATTAGCAAAGTCAATCGGAGCAGAGGGGCTCGTAGCAGGGCAAGTTGTGGATTTGAATTGCACTGGAATGTCGAATGTTGGATTGGATGAGCTCGAATTCATTCACATACACAAGACTGCTGCATTGCTTGAAGCTTCGGTTGTGCTGGGTGCGATATTGGGTGGTGGAGACGAACAACAGGTAGAGAAATTGAGGAAGTTTGCAAGGTGTATTGGGTTGTTGTTTCAGGTAGTGGATGATATTCTGGATGTGACAAAGTCATCAATGGAGTTGGGGAAGACGGCGGGGAAGGACTTGGTGGTGGATAAGGCAACGTATCCGAAGCTGATGGGTTTGGAGAAATCGAGGGAATTTGCAGACAAGTTGAAGGTGGAAGCCATAGATTTGCTTTCTGGGTTTGATGAGGGTAAAGCGGCTCCATTGGTGGCTCTGACCAATTACATTGCTCATCGGCAGAATTAGCGTAAAAAAAAATTGTTTGGGAGGAGATGATAACATTATGAGGGTTTTGAATGTTTGTTTTGTAACAATTTTTATAGAAATTATCATTCCTTAATTGGAATCTTACTACTGTGTTGTTGAATGAAGAGATATTATTATTTTGTTGCTACTACAATCTCCATCTTCATGTCAATTATCAAACTTAAGAATCAGTATGTAATTTAATTTCAATTATCAAATTATGTGAGATATTTTTTTTTTTTCATTTTCAAATCTATATCTAAATTTATAAATCAAACATAACATAAATGAACCAACATAAAAATATTAAATTTGTGATGCTTAATTTATTGTGATTTACGTTAAAAAAAAATAATAATAATAATAAAAGGAAGAAATGACAAAAAGATTTGAAAATCTTGGAGGAAGATGTTATCCAAGCAGTTGGCCATTTAGAAAATACCGACAAATGCACAGATGTCACATGTTGTCACAATGATATATGGCCAGATCTCCCAATATGTATATTTGATTAATTTTTAATATGTGATCAACCAATTAATTAAAAATTTGAAATGAAAGCGAATTTTTTTTTTTCTTTATAAATCTCCTTTCAAATTCTTAATCTAGACAACTTTAAGAGTGCTTGCATGCATTGTGGTTAAGACTGTGTAAAATATCGTCTAATTCGCTAAAATTATATCGATCCATATCAATTCGCACCGCTTTAACCGTTAACCGCGATTTAAACTTTAAAATTTATAATCCGCCAACCGAACCGCTCCGCTCCGCTATAATTAATACATATATTTTTTAATTTTTAATGAACTATTAATGTAAAAATGAGTGTGAGAGATTTAAAATATGAAATTTATTACAAATTAGTGGTTATATATATGAAATATATTGTGCAAAATTACTTTGTGTTATATATCTAAAAAATATTATACAAATTAGTGTTATATATTATGCAAATGTATGATAATTAGCTAAAATATTCTTCAATCCGCTAATCCGCCAAAAATCGCCCAAACCGCAATTTGTCAATCCGTTAATCCGCTAACCCGTCATTCGATTTGTAATTTTACTCTCAAACCACCCGAACCGCACCGCGCGCACCCTAAATTGTGATTTAGCATTGGAATGTTGATAGCAAAGCGAACTAGTTAGTTCACTTTGAGTTAATTTATGAAGGCTTCTTATGGGAAGCCAAAAACAATATGCATTTTTTCATAATAAGCTAATAAGTAAAATAATCAAAAAGAAAAAAAAAAGTCACTTATCAAAATAGATCTAAATATAATGAATTTTAAAATACTTTTAAGTTTGACTTAGAATATTTTTAATAGTTTATCATTGGAGCTGCTATATCTATAATTTGGCAGATGAGAAGAAAAGTGATGCTCCAATGGTAACATATGGCAGCTGCCATATGTGCTAATAGCTACCAAAACTTTCCTCCCTCCCTTCCTCCCTTTCAACAAAACAAAAATATTTTTTTCAAAATTCCTATTTTTGCAGAACCAAACACAAAAATTGATGTGTTCGGTCGTCCAATCACACCAATTTTCTATGTTTAGTTTTGCCAAAATAGCATCTCACCATTAGAGCAAGATTGCTATAATTCTACCATTTTCTACTATTTAATGCCAAATTATAGCAATGGCAGTATTATTATAGCATTTGTCATTAGAGATGCTCTCAAGGGGGTTTGGTATGTCCTAAAATAGTACATGCTATTTTAGCACATTATTCTATTTGGGTCACAATCATCTTATTTTGGTTATATCATCTCTCTATCACATCACTTTAAACTCAACTCATTTTTCATGTTTTTTCGTAAAAAATATACTTATTTAGATCATCTTAAATACCTTTTACTTATGTAAAAAGTCAATCTCAAACAATATTTTAATACATAGAGAACACAAATAAAGCTTGAATTATTTTATTTTATATTATTTTCTTATTTGAGTGTAAATAAATTTATCAAACCGAGTATGTTCAACTTATTTTATAAACTTGGGTTAAAAATTTAACAAATTTTGATTCGTTTTACAATCTTGATTGATTGATAACACTCTGTTCTTGATGAGACTCACACCAGAATATAGAATTATTGATTGTGATTCAAGTAGATCTTGACCCCGGATTCATTAAATTAGAAATCAAACGTGAAGGGACCACTGGCAGTAACAAGGTTGCACTTATACTAAAACTCTCTCACACAAGCTTTCTGGCTCACCTTAACCTCCTAAAATCCATCTGCAGGAGATGGAAAACATTTCAGCAATCCTATGCTGGTCTTTTCTATGAACAAAAACAATCAAAATGAATTCTCTTGCAGGAACACTCAGAGATTTAGTTGCTGCAAATTTAGTTGAATGTTGATATTTTCCCCAATGGAATTGACTGGCAAAGAAGCACTCGTTTAAATCCTGGATAAGAAGCAAAATTGGACTCAATAATCTCTCCTTTGGTAGAGCAAAACTAACCTAGAATAACTAACTCTCATGTGACTTTTCTATCCTGCAGGAGGAATTGTTTTTCTCGAGAATGGGACAATTACGGATAACTCTTGCTGGCTGATGGAAATTGGATTGGATTTAATTCGACCCATAACCCATTGAATGTCACATGAATTATAGATAATTCACATACTAAAGGAATAAGATAATTAAAGAAATTATCTAATGAAGTGTTTGAATTATTGTGAGAGTCTACAACTCCACTTCTATTTGCAAAGATATTCTATATATCTCATATATATGATACAGAAGATACATATTATTAAATGTGGAAATTTTACCCGTATAATCTCTCCAGGAAAATATTTCTCTTTGTTCTTCTCTCCTAGGTCACCATTATTGAACCTAAGGATTTGGAATGTGAATACTGTAAAAGAGGGTTCAAGAACGTCGTTGGAGAATTCGAAGACCTTCGAAGATCTTTGAAGAACAACTTCGAATTCTCTAGAAGATGATGAGAGGCTTAGATTCTTCAATACTCAAGAACACAAGAGTAAAGGAGATGATGGAGATAAGAGATTGGGTGAAGAAGAAGGCAAAATGGCTAGAGAGAGAATAATGGCAAGGCTCTCCCATGGATCTCCCACTTTCACTCTCAAGGTTGATAATAGAGATGGGAAATTAGTTCTTTCCTAAGAGTTAACTCTCCAAAAATCCATCCCTTGTAAAACTATGGATGGGTGCTATTTATAGGCACCTCATGATGTAGGATGGAGCCTATGTGCAAGGCACATGGGGAATATTCTCTCTAACCACCTTGTCCGAGGAGGTGACCTCCCCGAGGATGAGACCTCTCCGAGGATAAGGAAAACCCCGAAGAGGAGATCAACCTCTCGGTGAACCATTTTTCTTAGTCACACCTAACCAATGATCCCCAATCATCCCAAAGGGTCAGGGGTAGTCCCAGAGGACATCATGCCGCATAAGGGTCAGGGGTAGTTCAAGAAAACGCCCTGTCGCAAATATTGTTGAGTCTCAGGGACCCCCTAGATCATGCCATCTCGACCCGGGTATAGGCTAGTTTAACCGAAGAGTGAATTTATCGTCACTCACCGTCCTCGGGATCGGGTCCTTTGTTCGGACTCCATTACGCCCATGGTTCTGGTACGTAGATCCCAGAAAGCTCCGAGTCCGCAAGTGTTATGAGACTCATTAATGGAGCGGCTTCTAGATTGCATCTGAATCCGTTCGAAGTCAAGTGCTTCGGATCTCTAGGTTCGTGGATCCGAACCCTTTCGAGTCCGAGTCTGAGTAAGTCTCTAAGTTCGTGGATCTGAACCCTTTCGAGGCTTAGAGAGATTCGGCCCGTTTGATGGCGATAAATCCGGACCCACCAATCTTGGACTTGCGATAAATTCGGGTCCACTAATCTTGGACTATTGGGCCTAATTAATTTAGTGGGCTCAAATTAGCTCCTCTTACATTTGCCCCTTGCGTGTACGAGAAATTGTAGTTTTCTCGGACATGCATAATTTCACCTTATCAGCCATGCTTCACATTACGTCTTCAGGAATATTTGGTCTTGATAGAGTCAGGATAAAGTTGAAAATTCACCGTAATTTACAGATAAAATCGACAAGTAAAATTAAAAAAATAATAATAATAATAAAAAAAAAATAAATGAGTAACTTATCAGCCATGCTTCACATTACGTCTTCAGGAATATTTGGTCTTGATAGAGTCAGGATAAAGTTGAAAATTCACCGTAATTTACAGATAAAATCGACAAGTAAAATTAATTCGGGAATGTTTGGTTTTGACTGAGTCTAAAGATAAAGCTGAGGATTCACCGTAATTTACAGATAAAATCGATAAATAACATTAAAATAAATAAATAAATGAGTAACTTTTTTTTTTTTGATGCAACTGATTTGTTTTTACAACATGTGAAAACATAAAATAAATAAAACACCCATTTTTCTTGAAGAGATAACGGCTACATACATTTTTTTTTCTTTCTCAAATATTTGAAACCACTAAAATCAATCAGGTTCTTTATTTATATATACATATATATGGAAGCTAAAGACAAAATCCACCATTTTTATCCTTTTTTGCAAATGTGAGCTCACTTTTTGAAATGTACTCAGCAAAAAAATAAATAAAATTTATTTTGTGGAGTCCAATCATCCAAACCCACTGTTCTTCTTTCTTCAAATTTAAAACCCGTAATTGCTTGGGCCGTTATATATATATATATATATATATATATGTGTGTGTGTGTGTGTGTGTAGAATATTTGAGAGGATATTCCATCACACCCCTTTTTTTTATTCTATTTAAAGAAAAGGATAGCAACCCTAATCAATGTAGCCTCTCTTTTCTTTATTTTTTTGTTTTGTTGCGCAGCTGTTGCGGCCTCCTTCTCTCTTTACACAGAGACTACCCCAGTTGTCCTCTTCTTCAAAGAACAATATGTAATCTGTAACCCCACAGGGCCACCATCGCTTGCTTATTGCTCATTGCTCATTGTGTAACTCCGGGCGTCGTCGTCGTCCACTCTATCCTGAATACAGTCAGCTCACGCGCACATTACTTACGCGACAATCACCGAAGACCACGCAGACCAACGTCGACGGCCTACGCGAGAGTCAGCCGCGGCACTGCTCTTTGCACGCGACCACCCAACTCGCGCAGCTTGTGAGCCTCATCTACAGCTCCTGTGACATCGCTGCTTCTGTCAGACGCGACCTGCCAGTGCCGACCACGTCGCCCTTGCAACGTGTCGTTGGTCCGCCTAGCACCCTTCTTACATATTGCTTGTCTAAGCCATACGCACTGCCGCCGACTTGTCTTGGCTGTCCCTGGCGCTGGCTCTACGGATCCCGGCCTTAGTTCTCTCCAACGCTGCTCTCTGCTGCAAGTTGGCCACCGGCTTCAACTATTCCAGCACCGACCACACACGTTGCCCACTCAACGCGACGTGTATGATCACCACCTTCTTTCTGACACCATTGTCGCCTCCGGTCTCGACTTGTCCGACGCCGACCACGCACGTTCGCCCACTCAACGCAACGTGTGTGGTCTTGCCTAGCACTGCTCATTCTTGTTTTTGTATCCTATTGCAGACCAACTTTCTGCTAAATAATTAAATAATCAAGACTCTTGGTCAGGGCATTTTCTCAAGACCAACTGCCAACAAAGCTTCTGCCGAGTGCCAACCAAAAAATCATCCAGACCCATTTTCGTTTCTTTGTACAATATATAAGACCCATAACTTTCAACATTAAATGGCTGGTTTGTTTATTTCAGGAACAATATACCGGTGCTCTGTTCTTGGCTACTTTCTCTCACAGGCGTGGCCTTCAGATCTGTAAGTATTTTGTCAAACCCCACTCTCAAACCTCTTGTTTTGACGAAATCTGAATTTCTGAGCCTTACTAGAAATTTGATTTGGGCCTTTGAGATTTGTGAGTATTGTTGTATAGCAATTTTGAACTCGAGATGGCCGAAGGTTCTATTAAATCTTGATTGGCATGAGTAATGTAATCCTGAAATTCATGTTTTGGAGCTTGACCTTGTGTTGATAAATCTGACATAAACAAAATATTTGATGCTTGCACTAGGCTATTGATGTTGAGAGAGAACATGGACTACAAGTGAGTGTTGTTGCTATCTTTGCTTGCATGGGACGAATAAAATAATTATTGTTGTTGTCGATGAAACCCGAGGAAATAAACCCCTCATATTGTATATAAATCTTGTTATCGAATGATTGATTGTTGCAACCCCGAGAATATTAGATATCATGCTTGAACTCCTGATGTAGAATTCATCGTAGGACTTGTTGATATGATGAAATACCTCGTTGACTAATAGAGATGATATATTGTTGTTTGTTTAACTTATGGATGCTTGGGAAATACATAGCTGATGCCAAAATTTTGTGTGATCGTTGTAGCTTTACGTCAGCTTGAGAGGAACTGGCCCGGAGAGACAAAAACTTGATTGTTGCATTTTCATGAACTTGCTCGGAGGAGTAAAATTGTTGTAGCTTAAATAGATCATTATTATTTGTTGATGTTGCCCCATTCCGATAATGCCTGAATCAGGATATGAAATTGATATTGCTCATCTCATTTGTCGGTTTTACTATTTCAGGCAAATAAATTTTTGTGCGAAATCCACAACCTCGAGGCCCTTAGAACCCGCACTAATGAGAGTAAGGGTTGTTCCTCGGAAGTCCAAACGGAAGCAAGACTGTCCCTCGGGAGTCCGAAAGTAGCATACACCCTACTTTGGCAAGAAAGATTCCTCTGGAAGGTAACCGAGTCTACCAAGCTTGCACCAACAGAAGTAAAGATTCTCTCTCGGAAGTCCGAGCAGAAGCAAGGTTGTCCCTCAGAAGTTCGAGCAGAAACAAGGCTATCCCTCAGAAGTCCGAGCAGAAACAAGGCTCTCCCTCAGAAGTCCGAGCAGAAACAAGGCTGTCTCTCGGAAGTCCGAGTGGATGCGCATTTCTACTTTGGCAGCTAATGGAAGCAAAGGCTATCCCTCGGGAGTTCGAGTAAGAGTCTACTCTACTTTGAAAAGAAAGATCCTCGGAGCTTGTATAGATGAAATCAAGGGCTGTTCTTCGGACCCGCACTAATAAGAGCAAGAGTTGTCCCTCGGTAGTTCAAATGGAAGCAAGGTTGTCCCTCGGGAGTTTGAATAGTGTTCCCTCTTTGAGATAGTCAATGTAGACTTGCTTCCAGTCAGGGGTATCAATTTCAAAGCAACTCTCATCCTTCCGGATGTATGACTGACACTTGGGGCATTCCTTCTGTAATTGATTCGAGTCCTTCTCCATCTTAGGCCAATAATAGCCTTGTCTTTGGATTCTTTTGTACAGACTGATATCCCCATCCCCGCAAGACTTTTCATGGATCTGTTGTAGTCGGAAGCTTGCTTCTTATTGGCCAACACACCGGGCTAGGAATCTGGTACCCCCTCGGAAGTAGAGTTCACCTTGAATAATTATGAATTGGGCAAGCTTGGCCATGGTCAGTTTTCTAACTTTGCTTATGAGTTGTTCGAGGACTTCTCCTCTCCAATCCTCCGGAAGGTCTTTATCTTCGGATATTATTGAAGGTTCTGTTCTCTTCTTGATGATAATTGTCGCCTCTTCCTCTGGAATGTCAACTCTTGCCCCTAATGTTGCTAGGGCATCTGAAAACTTCTTGTCGGAGCGAGGCACATGCTCTATTTCGACCTTCTGAAATTTGTCAAGAAGCCTTTAGACTATTGTTCAATATGTGGCCAAAGCAGGCTCCTTTAAGACGAACTGTCCTGAAACTTGCTTCACTATCAACTTTGAGTCCCCCCGAATCCGAATCTTCTTGATATTGTGCTTCTCAGCTGCTATCAAGCCCAAAATAAGAGCCTCATACTCGGCTTCATTATTCGAACAATGGAAATCCAAATACAACTTTTAGACAAAGTAAGAAAATGAATTTCAACATAGACGAGTCCAACTATGGGTAGTAATGCTTGATAAACTTTGCATTGAGCGGGCCAGTTCGGAAGCCGTCTTCAACCCTTACAAGTTTGTAGTACCCGCTTGAGCTTGCCTGAACCACCTTGTAGGGCCCTTCCCATTTTGGAGAAAACTTGGGCAAAGGCTGTCCTCGCATAATTGGGTCTACAATCTTCCATACTAGATCACCTTCTTCAAACTTCCTTGGTACCACAGTCTGGTTATAGGCTCGGGCGATGGACTCATGATACCTTTCCATGACTTTTGCAGCTCTGTCATGCTTTTCCTCTAATGCTTCCAATCTGGTGGTTCGAGGCTCCAATACCATCCCCGAGGCGAGAGCCATCCGAGCAGATGGTGTTTCCAACTCTATAGGTAACACTGCCTCAGACCCATACACAAGGGAGTAAGGAGCTGCTTGAGTTGGCTTTCTCTTCGAAGTGTGTGCTAAGAAGTAATGTTTGAGCTTTTGGGCGGTAAATACCAAAGCTAAGCAATGTCTCTCTATCGGAGTATATTGGACTTCTGCTCCTCGAATCTTCCGGCTGATGTAATACACCGGGCGTTCTGCTCCATCTATATCTTGGACCAATAGTGCCCCTATGGACTTGGGGGTTGAAGTTAAGTACAACATTAGCGGCACCCCGGGCTGTGGGGCTATCATGGTCTGAGGCGAGGTCAAGGCTGCCTTGATTCTCTCGAAGGCCTTTTGGTGCTCTTGGTTCCACTCGAACTTGGCATCTCCTTTTAACAATGAACCGAAAGGGGCAGAGATCTCTGCAAGTGCTGGGATAAACCTCCGAATACAAGACACCTTCCCGAGGAACTTCTTTAACTCCTTCTGAGAATGTGGGGGAGGCATTGCTTTGATAGACTTGACATTGTCTTCATCTGCCTCGATACCATGCCTATGTACAAGAAACCCGAGGAACTTCCCGGCTGTCACCCCGAAAGCACATTTGAGAGGATTCATCCTCATTTTGAATTTCCAGCACCTCTTGAATACTTTCTCAAGGTCTCGGAGATGGTCCTTTTCTTTCTTGGATTTCACCGCTAGATCATCAACATAATCTTCCACCTCATGATGGATCATGTCATGAAAGATTGCAGTCATAGCCCTTTGGTAAGTTGCTCCGGCATTCTTGAGTCCAAAAGGCATGACTGTATAGAAGAAGTTTCCGAGAGGTGTTCTAAAAGCGGTCTTTTCTGCGTCCTCCTCAGCCATCTTAATCTGATTGTATCAGCTGAATCTATCCATGAATGAGAACATCTGGTGTCCCGAGGTGGCATCTACGAGGGTGTCGATGTGTGGTAGAGGGAATTCATCCTTCGGGCAAGATTTGTTCAAATCTCGAAAGTCTACACATACTCTGATTTGATCATTCTTCTTCTTTACTGGCACAATGTTTGCTAACCACGTGGGGTACTGTATTGGCCGGATGAAACTAGCTTGTTGAAGTTTTTCAATCTCCTCCTTAATCTTCTCTTCGAGATCTGGATGATATTTTCGAGCAGCTTGCTTAATTGGCTTGGAGTTTGGGAACACATCAAGATAATGGGAGACTAGGTCAGGATCTAGTCCGGGCATTTCCTTATATGACCAAGCGAACACATCTGAATACCGGCTTATCAACTTTAACAACTGTTCCTGCCTCTCTAGGCTAAGGCTCGAACTTATGAATACCGGCCTTTGAGCATCTTGTCCATCACTCAGATCTATTTCAATAAGTTGTTCAGGCTGAGGCTTCGGCCCATCTTGCATGCATTCTGGAGCCACTTTAGGCTTTATCACTATGTCATTATCAGGAGGCTCTTCTTTTGACTCGGAGTCGGTGACTGAAGAAACCGACTCCCCGCACCTTCATAAATAGTACACCATCTTGCCCCCTTCTCGAACTTTCATCACCTTCCGAGGAATAGGCGGACTTTCTGGTCTAGAGATCGCCCATTTACTTGATTCTGTCCTTGGCTCCTTGTCATCTTTGATATCCTCCCAACGAGGAATTTTGACCCCCCGAGGCTTAGAGGTGGTGAGAGTTTCTTCGACAGCCAGTTTGGTGAAGTAGATGGCATCAGAATAATGAGCTTCATGGATCTCGAAAGGCCTTTCCGTAGCTTGAATTGTCACCATCTTCTTTCCTCATTTAGCCTTAACACATTGATGATAACTCGATGGTACAGCCCCATATCTATGCATCCAGGTCCTCCCTAGGATGATGTGGTAGTTTGCCTCAGAATCGATAATATGGAACTTGGTGGCCGAGCGAATCTCTCCAACGGCTAAATCAACTGTTACGCATCCGATAGTAACTCTCATTTCTCCACCGAAGCCAGTGATGACTATCGGCTGCTTCACAATGCGTTCTTCAGAAATTCTGGCCTTTTCTAGAGTAGCACGAGTCATAATGTTGATAGAGGATCCACTATCTAGAAAGGCCCTTTTGAACTCAACCCCGTTAACAAAAGCAGTCACATAAAGCGGGCAATTGTGAGAAAAAAGAAACTTCCGATCAGCCTCAGAGAAAGTAATGGCACTAGATTGCTCTTTTGCCTTCCTCAGGATAGATCCCTCAGTCGACATGCATTTCTCATGATGTGCCTCGGCTATATTAATGATAGACTTGGTGATTTCTGTTCTTGCCTCCCTAGAAAGTCCAAGCTGGTCGAAGAATTGCTTGAACTTTACACAATCTTGCAAGGTTTTGGCATAGTGATCCGGATCTTTTTCCACTCTTAGAGGCTCGTAGTTAACCATCTCCTCGGTCTCTTCAAAATAAGATGCCACATAAACATGGTGTCTTCCTCTTCCGTAGCACTCTTCTCCTCCTTCTAGATCAAAGGGATCGTCGACATGAGTTGTGAAGGTTCTGCCCTCAGGATCGAGCGCACTTCCGTAGTAAATTTGTTCACCCTCTGGCTCGAGGATGTCGTCCAGAGAATAATCATCGTCATCGAGATTGGCGATAGCCTCAATCATCGGGCCTTCATAAGCTATCATAGCAACATTCTTGCCCTTGTCTCGGTGTTGAGGATATGGTTGTTCTCGGATATCTTGAGTCCTTTGCTTTTTAAACCTCAATTCGTCTGCCTCGACTTTATCTCTGAAGATTTTCCTGAGAGTCCAACACTTCTCTGTCGGATGTTTCAATGTACGATGGTAGACACAAAATTCAGGGCTCTCGTGGTCCTTTTTTGATGGCATTTCTTCGACATAAGGCAATTTTAGCTCTCCGTCGGCCACCCATTCCTTAACTAGAGCTTTCACTTCCTCGATTCCACATGGATAAGAAACATTCCCTTTTTCACCATTATATTGCTTTCTCTTCTGGCCTCTATGACCTCCTCCTTGTGACTTTCAGGTATCTGGGGCAGAGGCAGCAGCAACAATAGGTCCACGAGACGATTTGAAGCTAGTTTTGTAACTAGTCTTAAATCCGGACTCCTGAGCCTGAGGAATGCTAATGTTCCGAGCTACTTCTATTAATGCCGAGAAGGTAGGTAGCTTGTGATTAACTAGAAACATTTTGTACCTGCTCAATGCCCCTTCTAGACAGATTTGAACCAGATAACTCTCCTCCACTGCTTCATGGTAATCCACGGCCTTGTCCTGAAACCTTTTGACGTAGTCAAGGATGTCTTCACTTTCTTGCTGCTTTTCTTTACACAACGTAAGTGTGGTCACCTTCTCCGCCACTTGAAAGAACTTAGAGTGGAATTTGTTAACCATTTCCTCCCAACTTTGGACAGAGTTTGGGGCCAAATTAACATACCAACTATATGCTCGGTCGGTAAGGGACTTAGAGAATTCTCTCAGCCGGAGGACGTGGTTTGAACCATGAATACCCAAAGTCTTGATGAATCGCACAACATGTTCTCGAGCATTTTCTTGTTTGTCATCGAACTTGATGAACTTCGGCACTGTATACCCCTCAGGGTATGGATAGCTCAGCATCTCAATGGGGTAAGGTGGCTTGACATCCAGATCAGGCAAAGAGGGTAAAGTCCTCTTGCCTTGTTTGAGATCGAACATGGCCTGCACATCGGCGAGAGTGAGAAACTGTTGAGGGAGAGAGTTTGATGGTGGTATTCCCGGAACTTGGCTTATGGACGCGAAGACTGAACTAGGGGCGACTTGGCCATTCTGGTGCTGCGGATTCATCATTGGTGAGGACATTTGACGATACTGGCCATCAGCGCCTATAAACAAGCCAATTGGTGATGGAATATTGAATTGAGGCCCGTAGAGTCCACCGCACGGCGCCGCTATACCGGGTTGTGCTTGCAGATTTGTTGTTGGCACCAAAGGAGGCCCGCTTGGTGCTCGGGTAACATTTACTGGTGGCGTGACAAGATTAGGTACGGGCAGAGCTCCCTTTTGCGCCATCACGCTCCTTATGTTTTCCTGGACACCAACAGTCGCCGGAGCACCATTCATTACACTAGAAACTCCCCTAGTCACCATTGGATCTTGGCTTGGCACGCCATGGAGCCCGGGCATGGGCAAACTGCCGCCGCCTACTGTGGTTTGAGCATGTGTTACTGTGGCCGTGTTGCCATGAGCCATAGGCTGATTGGGGCCTACTTCTCCTTGGATTTGATTTTGCGCTCCGGCGAGAATAACTCCACCACCAGTTTGATTCCCGTTTGGCGCCGGTGCAAAGTTAGAACTCATCACCAACATGGTGTGAGTGAGATTCTGAAGAGTGGTAAGAATCTCCTGCTGAGTATTTTGAAGTCCTTGAATGGCTTCAAGCAAAAGTGGTTGATCTGGAGTCATGGTTCTGTCATCACCACCATTAGAGGATCCTTGTTGGTGAACTTCATCTTCTCCCGCCATCCTTGTTGGAGTTGTGTGGATTCCAGATCTCGTTGAGACCATTAACCAATCTGCCTCCCCAGCGGAGTCGCCAAAATGTAGGAGAGGGTTCAAGAAAGGAGTTGGAAAATTCGAAGATCCTCAAAGATCCTTGAAGAACAACTTCAAATTCTCTAGAATATGATGAGAGGCTTAGATTCTTCAATAATCTCAACTTAGGAACACAACAACAAAGGAGATGATGGAGATAAGAGATTGGGTGAAGAAGAAGGCAAAATGGCTAGAGAATAGAAGATGGAGCCCATGTGCAAGGCACATGGGGAATATTCTCTCTAACCACCTTGTCCGAGGAGGTGACCTCTCCGAAGATGAGGAAAACCCCGAAGAGGAGATCAACCTCTCGGCGAACCCTTCTTCTTAGCCACACCTAACCAATGATCCCCAATCATCCCAAAGGGTCAGGGGTAGTCCCAGAGGACATCCTGCCGCATAAGGGTCAAGGGTAGTTCAAGAGAACGCCCTGCCGCAAATATTGCCGAGTCTCAGGGACCCCCTAGATCGTGCCACCTCGACCCGGGTATAGGCTAGTTTAATCGAAGAGTGAATTTATCTCCACTCACCGTCCTCGGGATCGGGTCCTTTGTTCGGACTCCATTACGCCCATGGTTCTGGTACGTAGATCCCGGAAAGCTTCGAGTCCGCAAGTGTTCTGGGACTCATTAATGGAGCGGCTTCTAGATTGCATCTGAATCCGTTTGAAGCCAAGTGCTTCGGATCTCTAGGTTCGTGGATCCAAACCCTTTCGAGTCTGAGTCTGAGTAAGTCTCTAAGTTAGTGGATCTGAACCCTTTCGAGGCTTAGAAAGATTCGGCCCGTTTGATGGCGATAAATCCGGGCCCACCAATCTTGGACTTGCGATAAATTCGGGTCCACTAATCTTGGACTATTGGGCCTAATTAATTTAGTGGGCTCAAATTAACTCCTCTTACAAATACAACATTAAAAAACTCTAGTAACTTCAATTGACGAAGGACATGAGAGTCATAATTCAAGTATTTTGATCCAAATTGTTTCTGCTTGAGATAATATAATTATCCGTATCTTTTCCTTCATTGGCAAAATATTAAAATACCATCCCAGGATTAAACATTTTGGGATTGTGAACAAAATTAATGATCCCAGCACAAGGCACCAGTAGATGCTGCATCATAACAATTTTTGTTGGCAGTTTCATATACCAAATCAATAATATAGATACTTCATATTTTGATCAATAGCTTAATGATAGGGCACATACCCATATTAAAACTGGTGCCCAACTCATAAGAACTGAACTCTGAAAATCCATTAACCCAACTCAAGGCACCTACAGAAATTGCATCAAAATAATATATGTTGGCAAATTCCAGTTTTACATATCAAATCCGCAATTTGGGTACTTCACATTTTGATTCGATAAGTTATCCCAGTGAAAATGGCCATATTCTCATGTGAACCACTATCAAGAACCAGGATTTCCCAAAATTCCTAGGGAGAAAATACAGAAAATTGAATAAAGTCTTTAAATATACTTTTGGAAGAATCAGCAATTCCGAATGTTACATATTTGTCACCTGTTAAAGTTTGATATGCCGCCAGCATTTTCTTCTGGCTGTTCGATATTTAAGCTACATCTGTCATCCGTGAAGAGCTCCACTCCTAGGCAGCATAGGCTATGAAGTGCAATGCCTCATTTCAATGAAGTGCGATGACCATGGCATGGTTAATCATGATCATCAGGTTCTGGGAGAGGCAACACTTCCATCTCATGGACAAGGCAGCATGTCACCAATCCTGTTAACAATTGCTTACTAACTTCAGAATATCACATTAATGTCAGATCAGACAGTCATTTGTCAAGATCATATATAAATGCTAATTTCTAGCACTTTAAATAGATATTTTTTCTTACCTATAATCCGATATTTCATTCTGAATAAAAGCAGTATCAGAATATATAATATTATATATTTTATAACAATATCCACTTTCTTACTACTGGTAGTAACTAAAAATCATTTTATCAGTGAAAAGCTGGGGAAAGGGTTGACTTGGAATGCAGCTGCCAAATTCAAAATAGTAAGTAATTATTCAAAACCAAATAACCCAATATATACAAAATGAATTGAGATGACATGAAATGGGGAGCCACAAACTGACATATTAGTGTTGTGGCTTCCCTCTGAAGCAGTCCAATGAGATCAGAGCCAACACCGATTGGTTCAAAGGTAAAACATTGGCCTAATAACCTCGAGGTTATGGGTTCAAGTCTCAGGATAACCACTTTGTGCACTATGCCAAAGGTTAGGTGTGTACCCAATCTTTCACTTTCCAAACACACATTAATGTGTACTAATTAAGCGTTGTTTTTTTAATAAGTAAATGAAAGAAATGTGATTTAAGAATGAGAAGGAAGGCAACCAAAGACAGCACAGGATTTAGGAGGTTCAGGGCTTTACAACAATTTCATAGAATTTTTGGGCTGAGATTGTATGGACTGTTTAAACTAGAAGTCCAAAACTAATGACAGCCAAATGTCTGCCTCACAATCACAACACTAAAAAATGGTCAAACAGGTTTTGAATGTGAGAGGTTTATATAGATTGTTTCAACTGGGTATTAAATTAGTCCAAGATTGGAAGCATTGTTAAAAAGAGAGTCAGAAACCAAGCAGAGACTTGATGAAAGATTCACCGCCTGTCAGGACAGCAGGAGGAAGAAAGAAACGAGGTATTTAATCATAGAGCAGAGATGTTCTAACCTCTCCACGCACTGGAAAGGCAACCAGAGGAAACTTGCTGAGTTACAGTGATCATACCTATCCACTACAGTTTTTACAAGCACTTGCCATCAATAATTTTCATTAACCACTAATAATGCCAAGTACCAAGCTGTAGTATCATGAAAACAACAGCAAAACCCATATTCCAGTTTTAACAAAATGATATGTCAACAGGGACAGAAATATGTGCAACTTACTTGAGGGTAAACACTTGCACAAGAATGCCAAATAGGTTCCAGGTCGGCAAATGTAGTTCCAAAGAGAGAGGCTTTCATCTGAAAGCATTATGTATCAGTTGTCCTCTTTAAAAAATTTCTAGACTCTTGAAAATAAAGGGGCTCATTTCCCCATGAAGTCCATCCAGATATCATTTCTCTGGAGAATAGTTCAATGCAATGAGGGGACCTGAATCCTGGCACATAATCGAGTAGCAACTCTGAAATTGTCAAAGGAATAAGGAATACAAAGTATTTTCACAAGTCAGAATTGTTAATACAACGAATTGCGATCAAAATGATTAATACGAATATTTATCCTCAATATTTTTTCTTTTCTTTTCTTTTTTAATGAATAGTGTATCAAGCCACAGACAAGAACTTTACAGTTCCAACAGAGAAATTAGGATTGACAATGGAATCAAATCAAACAAACCAAACCAAAAGAATAGTATGACACATCAAGAAAAGGATACCTCCCATAGGGGGCTTCCTAGAGTAATCCCCAGGAACACTGATGAAGACTTGATTATCTGGTATAGGTTTGAGTCCTGACAAGGATTCAGAATCCATTGCCTGCAAAGGTATGATAGCAAATTCTTAACAGAAACTTCAAACAATCCAAAATGTATTGCAATCAGCAATCAAAAGTACGTAGACTACCACTGCAGAGTCTTACCTTTCCATGACAGTAACCTACAAGAAGGCATTCATATGGTCTATGATGAAAGAGATCCAATTCACTAATCAATAAACCATCCGCTTTCACCTGTAACTTAAATACATCAGATTTTTGGCCAAGTAACTGGCAGTTTTGGCAATGGTTAATCACCATATATATATGAGCAAAACCGGAAAACAAAAATAATAACAAAAAAAAAAAAGAAGGAAAAAACACCTTTAACCAATAAAGAGTAGCCATGTATTTGACTCCCCATGAGGGAAACAGTTCTTTCTCAACAAAACCACGCAATTTCTCCCTGTTGGTCACCCATAAGGCTACCAGAGCTCCATCTGTATGAGTAAGTTTCTTAATTGGAAGTGATAAGAAATATCGGTTTGGCAAAGTTGGGTACCTGTAATGATAGGGAACCAGCATAAGTAACATGAATAACATATTAAACATATTTGTAATAATGGTAGACTTTGGAATTAAAGTTTTGGAAAGAAAATAAGAGGAAATGGACAAAGTTGCAAACCAACGTTGTGCAGTTTTATAGCTGCCACTTGTTTCTATAAACTATTACTAATAGTAACACAATGGACAAAGCCTTCATCCAGTTTATGGTTAAATATACATCTTACAGAGATAACAGAAATTATATGCTTCTTATTACTTCTCATGATTGCTGATTGCAGAAAATTCAATCTTTTTTCCAGGAAATGATTTCTCACAATCCAAACCATGTGACAAGATTTTTCTCTGATCCAACAACTTTAAGATATGTGAGAAGGCTTAGTCATTTGTGTAGAAATGTCTAGGGTAAATTTTATTTCAAATGATACACTTAAAATTACAAGACCCTAGATACAAAAGACTTTATAAAAAGATTTGATGACTTATACAACAAACCTTGGTAAAATTTTGAAGGCTAGAAATAGCTTAAGAATGTGAATGCATACTTTAATTTCTGATGGGCGCTGCTATTTTCCCATGGTGGGTCGACCAGTATAAGATTAAACCCACAATCAGATTCAGCTGCATGAAAGAATCAGAGGACATTTAACCCATTTTGGAAATACTAGAATTTGTACCATATTCCTTAACAGTCAGTGAAAAGCTTATAGTTTTTATTAAGGGTGAGGACTGAGGACTGAGGACACCAAAGCAACCACCATTTAGGCCATATCAGTGGGACTAGCAACGGCATACTGGTGCACATGGAACACAAAATAGACAAATACAGGATGCTTCCCACCAACAATTGAATTTGATATCTATGTTTCTTTGCCATACGGGTGCGGGTACCGGTATGATACGGGTACACCGATGCAGCAAATTCTTAAAGAAATAAGGTATGGGTATGGGTACAGCTAGGGCACGTCAATTTTTTTTTATTTTTTACTTTTTTTTTTTTAATTTATAGCTAAACATCCAACATACAAATCAAAATTTAAATATCAAAACTAAAAAGAGAATAGCTATATAATTTTTTCTTTTTCTTTTTTGATTGTCTAAAACAAGATGCAAAAGAGAGCAAAACCATGACTCATGGATAAAGGGTGTTGGAAATAAATCACTTGATATTTTCAAAATTGAAAGAAAAATAGTAAAGGCTGCAACAAATTCTAGCAGCTGCAAAAAATAAAAAAATAACCTTGCCGTACCCACGACGAACCCATGCCGTACCCACGACATATCCAAATGTATTTGCCGTACCCAGTACGCGTACCCGCACCCGGTAAGTACCCATGCTTCATAGATAGACTCAATATCATATACCCTATGTGCAAGCATGTAACATAACTATGAAAAAACCTTGAAATTTCTTAGGAGACACAAGATTCTGAATAAGCTTAAAGAAGGATAGGTCTAGCCATTAAACGGGATCAATAGTGATAATGGAGATCTCCTAACATACAATGCCAGATTGAAACGCAAAAACAAGTTTTAGTAGTAGACATTACCAGGAATCAGGTTGTGAATCTGCCCCAGATCAGACTTCCATGTGATGAGAAAAAGGAAGCACAAGAAGCATGTGAGACATAATAGATAACAATCTAAGCTTCAATCACACAAGAAAATAGAGAAATCAACAGTGAAATGGTTTAATTTGTCCTTGAGGAACAAAAAAATAAAAAATAAAAAATAAAAAATAAAAAGCAGATAAAGAAATAATAAAAGTCATTACGCATGATGTTCCATCATGAAAAAACTTAAACCATGGGAAATATTTAAATTCATACCATGTAGAAACAACTCTTTCTAGGTATTATATATCTTCTGTTCAGAAATTCAGCCTCTACATCTGTACTTGCCTTGTTAACAACTAAGTTATTAAACATTTGGACCACTCTTTGTTCAATGAATTGAACTACTGATGAACCTGAGAAGAAATAACAAACAAACAAGTTATTGCGATTTAGAAGCTAAAGCATAAGACAATCACATCACATGCTTGAGATGACAGATAGCTTGCAATTTCTATGCGGTACGAAACACACAGACTTGAAGGCAGAATACATATAGCTGCACAATTTAGTGATTAACGGCTACCATATGCACATCTTGAACTCTGTATATGGTACAATTTTGTCAAACAGTATTTATCTGGCTCGTGAAATTTAGCATTGCATATCAATTACACTTGCGTAAGACTTAAATGACACCATATCGCAGACTCCTGATATGTTTAACTTTAAAGCAAGAACAGGGATTGGACCTCTAAAAGGTTGTGACACAAACAATAGGCTTGACCTCAGACCATCATTGTGTGGAACCAACTGATTACACAAGACAAAACAGATGTATTATATTTGAATAATTCTATATACACCAACACTCTTACTAAAAATCTTACTAAAAGGACGTACCCAATGCACGAAACTCTTGCTTAAGCGGGGTTTGGGGAAGGGTTAATGTATGCAACCTTACCCAGCAAACAGAGATGCTGTTTCCGCGACTCAAACCCATGACCACCAGGTCCCCAAGGGTAGCTTTACCGCTCCGCCACCCACCCTTCTACTAAAAATCTTACTAGACATACAATAAATTAAATATGATTTGTTGTCAAAAAAAATAATGACACTTTGACATCCAATGATGTTTGGACACATGTTTTAGTAAGAGTTTTGGTGCGTGTCACATTGCTCATCATATTTGCTAAATATTTTCTAACACATAGTATTTCTTCTTTTTATCTCAAGAACAATATTATTTAAAGCTTAAACTATGTCTTATGTTAGACAAATTGTTCCCTGTTTGGGCTTATTGTCTGGTCACAACAAGTCCTTAATATCACTTCCAATTCCGCAAAGATAATTTTGCACCCCAAAATAGAGCATGAATTCATTTTTCTTCAACAAGAGCCAATACTATTAAAACCATCTCTCTTGCCACACTATCATATCCACTAATAGACACACAATTGAGTAACTGCAAATAAGATATTGCCAAACAAACCTCCATCTTGGGTAGGTTCACAGAATTGAGGAAAATTCAGGGTTATCTCATACAAAGGGGCTTGCCAAACACTTCCGAGCTCAACAAAAGACTGATCAGTGCTCGGCGAGACTAAGTCTCCACAATCTTCTGAAGAACATCCATCACTCCTCAAGTTTCGAATAATTGCTAGCAAATCAGTAGCTCCAAGTAAAGCTTCATGTGCCTTCAACAACAAAGGCCTCACCTCCTACAAAAATCACTAACCAAAATCACAACAAACCAAAACATTCAATACGTGTTTATGTAAGTATAAAATTGGCGATTTATACTTGATGGCGTTGATCGGCGATTCGTTCTCTGTCGTTGAGAGCGAGAGGACTTTTCTGTTTCTGTTTTCGTTTTCGTTTTCTCGAGTGTGAAGAATCTGTTGGATCTTCTTTGGAGTACTTGGATTCGAAGAATCGAGAGTAGTACACAGAAGATGAAACCCTAAATCGATTGTAAGAACGATTGAGGACTCGAACGGGATCGATGAATACTGCATTGGAGTTCTCGAAATAGTAAATGCCGGATTTCAAGAACATGGAAACCTCATCGCTCGTTTGCAGTTCCGCCATGTTCAGAGCTCAGTTTTCTACAGTCTAGCAAGAAAAACGGACTGCTTGGCTGCTGAGAAACGATACGAAAAGGTTGTTGAAGTTTCAGTATATTGCATTTTTGGCCCCTAATTTTTGGGTCAATTGTATATCCATCCATTGAAAGTGAGGACGTTCATGGGTTGGGGTCGACGGGTTGCATCTGATACGCCATCAAATGGGGTTTAGGTTGAGAAAATCTCACCGCAGTTGATCATTCACGATTTCAAATCGACTAAGCAGATTGGACTGACTGACGAGTAGCTACGAGTTGAGTTGGCAAATTGAATGGAAGGGAATGGTAGAGACCACCCTTTTAAATAATGTATACTGTAAAAAAATTATAATTTTTTATGATAAATATTATGATTATTTGTGATGAATGTTATAATTGTTTGGGATGTGTGTTATAATATTTTGTTATAAAGTCATAAATAGATAATTTATAATGTGCACTCTAAAGTTGAGAATGATAATATTATGATATTTTGTGATTTTTGTTATGACACTTTGAGATTTTGTTATAATATTTTTCAGTGAAAAAAAAGTTATGACTTTTGTAATGAAAAACTTATGACATTTTGTATTTAAGTTATGAAATTTTGTAAAAAATGTTATGAAAGGCATACCATATGCATCTTTTTGAAGGTGTACAGATATCAGATTTTTTATTAAATAAATGACTAAATATCTTATATGGATGTGAAATTTATATTTTTGTGGATCTCATGCTCATATGAGAGATTTGGTTATTCATTTGATAGAAAATATGGAGTCTATAACATTTTTCTTGAATAAATTCTATTTTACCCAAAAAAAAAAAAAATAATTCGAGGTAGCGTTTAGTAGAGTTTTCTAAATATAATTTGAGAATATGAGTTGTATTTTGAGTTTGTGAATTTTGGAATTATGATTTAAGTGTAGAAAATTTATTTGGTTATAAGTTTAAAAAAAGTTTTGGAAAGAGTTTTTAATTGAGTTTGAAATGAATGATGTGACATATGATATTTAATTCAAAAACTTACAACTCATAACCAAACACACAACCCAAAATCATATTCAAAACTCATAAAAAAAAATTTAAAATTTTGAAAATATTTTTTTATTTAAAATATAAAAATAACAGGTGCAATAAAAAAATAAAATACACTGTTCCGGTCAACCGGACGATCAACTGGGCGGACGTCCGGGGGACGTTCGAGGGGATGACCGAGTTAGCCAAATTTTCCCGCCTGGAAAGGAGTTTTTAAAAGTAGATGTGAAATTAATTTTTAAAAACTACAGCCAAACATCACATGCAAACTAAAAGGTGGAATTACAATTCTAAAGTTCTTCCAAACTGAGCCCTAATTTTTCTAACTAATCAAAGATGAGTAATGATTCTGCTTTCTCTAAAGGGTGAAAAGAGGCCTTTCCAAGTTTTAACATTTCATTTATTGAACAAATAAATAATTTATACATATATTAATATTTATAAAAAATTTATATTTCATTCGATCAGGTAAAATTTCACAAATTAAAACTACTCGACTCGCATCTATATGCCTATTGCAATTGAAGATGTATAAAAAAAAACTAAGGCACACTTTGAACCAAGCCAAGCTCTCAAATGAATTGGACTCATTCACCTACTGTGGTGGAAGGGTTTGGAATACTCTCTGATCTTAACAGACTTCCTTGATCCTCGAGATGATACTTGAAATAAGAACAAGCACTCCGATCAGTGATGCCGAAATCAGCACTTCGACGAGCAAATTAGTATTCACTCAAGTTTACTTTTATCACAAGTTATCACTGTGTTCTCACATACCTTTCTATGATCAAGGCTCCTCCTTTTATAGTGTTCTCCTGGGCCCATTTCTCCTTTTCATACATCCTGACTTTATGATTGGGTCCCCGCATGGCCCATGAAATATTTGACTCAGTTGGCCCTCCAGCTTGCTCATATTTGGCCCACTTTATATTGGCTACAGCCTATTTACTAAGCCTTTGGATAGAGTCGACTTATTTATGGCCCCGTTCACAAGCTACGTCCCACTATGACATGGGCTTCTAAATACAGCTGACTTGTATACGACCCTATTCCCTAATGAGCTGACCTTTGGGCCTCCAAGTCCATTAAATTTAATTCGCCCCCCACACCTACTAACGTAGGCTAAATAAGAGTACAACCCAAACAATGGATTGGGCTAACCCAATTGGCCACTTCAAAGTGGGTTGAACAAAGGATTAAGTTTAATACAATTAGGCACTCTGAAATGGGTCGAACAAAGGTTTGGACTATAGCGATCCCGGTTTTTGCCCGACTCTTGTGATATTCCGGGCTCGGGTTTAATGCTTTCATATTGTTGTCTATCTCTTTCCTCTCTTGTATACCTTTGAAATTGGTCTTTGGGTTGTTGTGGTTGTGTTTGGAACAGGTTGGTTACTTAGTTTTCAAACTCTATGTTGCCTAGATTTTTGATCTTCTGCTCGAGCGGCCATTCTTGCGCTCGAGCGGACTATGTATATTTTGGCCCTCCGCTTGAGCGGGAGTTACAAACACTCAGTACTCTGCACTTCTGCAAAAGTGCTAGAGGAATACTTTTCACGCTCGAACGGCGTTTCTTACGCTTGAACAGGTGTGCGCTCGAGCGGCTATTCTTGTGCTCAAGCGGTTGGTCTGTTGTTTGGAAAGTTCTGAAGGTGTGTATTCTGTGCTCAAGCGGGCCTTTTCTGGCGCTCGAGCCGAACAAATCTTTGTGTTCGACACTCGAGCATGAACCCCTTCGCTCGAGTGGACTGCGCCTATATCAAATCGCGAAAAGCACTTTTTACATCACTTTTTCATATCTTTTCAGCCAAAACCCTAAAGTTGAGAGCCTCTCTCTCTCTTTCTCTTTCTCTCTCTCTCCCTCTCTCTCTCTTTATATATATATGTATATATATATATATTTTGGCCTAGATCCTTTGATCTCTCCACCCTACTCCCTTTGATAAAGAGGTGGAGTTTCTCAAGATCTTTTCTTTGAACTGATTAGAGTTGGATTTCGATACTTTTGGGGTTTCTCTCTTGCTTGGCTCATTTTCTCTCTTTGAGGTAGGGATATTCTATACTTTAGTATGAGTTTTAACCTAGTTATTTGCAGTTATGTATAAATGGTGGAAATTTTGGGAGTTTTTGGATAAACTTGGTTTGGTCTCAAATTGAAAGAGGGGTTTCTATATTGTGTTACATAGATGATTATGGGGTTTTGAATACGAGGATATCTTGTGTTAAAATGGTGAATTTTAGCCTTTAGGTTAATATTTTAATAAGGGGGAGATTTACCCTAGATGTGTCTTGAATATTATTTTGTATAAATAATGAAATTGTTGTGAGGAATGTGAAATTGAGAAAAGGTGTAAATAAATGGTGTAGTTGGATTTGTTTGATCATTCATTCATGGAAATTTGATAAATTATCTGTTATAAAGATTGTATATCTGTTTGGAAATATCTGTATTGGGCTATCGGTGGAGGATAGCTATGATTGTTGTAGAAATTGCATAAGGATTAGGTGAATTGAAACTAATCATTTAAGTTTGTCATTGAATATGACGGTATGATTAAGGCATTGAATATGTGTTATGGATAGTCATTTTGTATGATAATGAATTTAAATATATTGTATATGTATAATGTTTTGGGAGAAGAAATGGGTACTCCATTGTTTTAGAGGAGATAGGGGATGGACTCCATTGAGAATTAAGTTGGCCGAAATGTCTAGGGTGAAAGTTCCGAAATCTTATGTATACATGGGTGCCGATCTCGCGGACGAAATTTTCGCAAAACGGCAAGGTTAAAGTGTTTGTATGATGGTTATGTTAATAAAGAACCATTAAGTTGCAGTCTTAGTTGGATCATCTGGAGAGTTATGTATATCTGTCTTGTGACATGAACGAAATGAATTAACCTGAAATGAATAAATAAGAATGAATCAAGATGTGAATACCAATATTGAATGGTCGTGGGAAGGATGTAAGGTGGTCATGAATATTAAACATTTGTCTGACGCTTATACCTTAGTTAAACTCCATACATTGTATTAGACTATTTCTACTGGGCTTTGGCTCACCCTACTTGGGAAACCATTTTCAAGTACCGGTGACATGCTTCCTCCAAGGACGTAGCTTGGAAGGACTTAGGAGCTGGAGGCTCTATTTTGTTGTTTTGTGTTTAAATGTTTATTCAAGTCGAGGGCTTTACATGTATAGAGCTTAGGGCTCTATTTTCTTGTAACCAAGTGATATCTTGGAAAGATGTAAGCCCGTAGGGCATTTATTTTGTTGTTATTAACTAATATTACATGCTATAGATTTAGGATGAACATTTATGAATGTATAATGCACGTAATATCTTTTGTAATATAAACTCTGATGAATGAAAGTATATCCATTCTATTATGCACTCTTCTCTTATGGATGGGTTAATTGTATTATTTTGGGGGCGTGACATGGACTAAGCCCAATTAGGCATTCCAAGGTAGACCAAGCAATAACATATACTAGATGCTCTAAGTCAAAGGAACGAAGTTTGGTTCTACTATTCAAATCAGGTCGTACAAAAGAACAGCCTCGGTCAGAGCAAAGATATAAGAAGGGATAAGCCTTACACTTGACCTAAAGTCATATGAGAGAGGACGTGTCGCCTTGATTCTTTATTATTGTGAAAACAATTAGGAAATGATATTTCATTCTACAAAATGACGCCGAACACATTCTTGTAGGCATTATGCTTAGCAGACTCGTCGTTAATCTCTCTTATTCAAGTGCAATTGCAAACAAGACAATGGTGTTTGGTCTTTGTAATTGGCAATCCCATTTGACAAAATTTCTTTCAGTTGCAATGTTATTCGTTTTTTTGTTTTAATGAGGCTTTGAGTGTTTAGATGCAAATCCAACCCGAATTGTGCTTGTGCAGAGAAGTTTGTGCTGACATTCTGCTTCTTGAGCCTTGCTTGTTTGCCACTTAACTGACTATGTATGGGGATCCCCAAAGCCAAAAAGAAGTTAAAGTAATTTGATCGCTCAAGCGATCATTTGTATGCTCTACTGATGAAGTTGGTCATCCAGTAGCTCTCTGCCTGCAAACTGAACTTCTGAGAAATATGTTTCACCGCTCAAGCAGTGAAATGTGCACTCGAGTGGTTGGCTTATATGTTTTGCACCGCCTTTACTCACACCGCTCAAGCGGTGAAGTGTGCGCTCAAGCGGTTTTCGCGGCTCTGTTTTCTATTAAGTACATCGTTTGTTGTTTTTAGTGTTTAACTCATTCA